ATAAATATATTGATTTTGAATCCTTGATTATTTTTTTTTTAAATTGTTAATTAACATAGGTATACAAAGCGGGTATCTTCAAAAATTAAAAAATAATGTAAAGAACAAAGTGAGAGATGAAGGGTCAATATGTCATGCATATTTAGTGGAAGAAGTATCAATGTTCTATTCATACTACTTTAAGTCTCATGCGTGTATTAGGCATAAAAAATATCATATAACTTTGAGTGTGCTCGAGAATCAAGTGACGATATTGAAAAGGTTCTTACTATATTCAAATTGAAAGATGGATCTTTTGGTTGAGCAAAATCATATATGTTGATAGGTGAAGAAAAGCTTGTATCCCATACCTACATTTTATTAAACTCCGATGAGGTGACACCTTACACTAAGTAAGTGTTAAAATTAACAAAATTTTTAATGCTTAACTTCATTAATTATCACTTATATATAATGAAGACATTAAAAATCTTAAAATTACTATTCTTTCAATAATTATTTCGTGATCCAACTTCATCAAAGTAATCTCGACATATTGAATGACGAGGTTGATGTTTGATTTTAAAATGATTTTGCATCATAGTTTCATCGCCATGTGAGTATCATCAATTTTGAATTCATTTTGTTAATAAGATACAGTGAAGAAATGTTATACTAACAATAAGGAGTGGATTTCAATTTTACGAATAAGTAATGCACAACTCAACTCGATAACTAGCCATTACATTAAAGATCTCACAAAAAGACCTTTATGAACGAGTAAAGTCATAACCGAGATACATTATGAATGAGTGCAAGTTTCACACTCGAAAGTCATGGTTCAAATAGAATAACAATATGTAGTGAAGTTTGCGTAAAATGAGTTAATTACGGTGTTGAAGAAAATAACTAATATGGTAGGTTCATTGATATGCTAGAATTTGAGCATTATGTATTACCAATCAAGAGAATCATATTATTCAAATACGATTGGTATGATAATTCACTTGGTGTTTGTATAAGAGTTCATGATTAGTATAGATTAGTAGAGATATATAGTCGTAGGATGTCGAACCAATCTGATTTATTTATCCCGACAACACAAGTGCATTAGGTGTATTATGCCATATATCCTATCTCGAAGCACATCAATCACGATTGGTTGGCTATATGTAAGGTAAAACCGATGACGAGTGGTGGATGTTCCGGAATCGTCTATTACGATCCAAAAAAATACGAAATTGTTTTAGGAAAATGATATAGAAGACTAACATAATGTCTTCCAAGTTGATGACAATAAACGTTAGTTGTTGATCGATCTAACTAGATCGTTAATGGATGTAGAAAAGGGATGAAATTAATGAAAAGAATGATGTTGAATTTAAAGTAGATGTAAAGAAAGACTTTAATGAAAACTATAATAATAATGACCATGATAGTGATTAACGGTAAAGTTTGATTGTCCTCTATAGTATATTTGATTAAGGCAACTTGTTTATATATGTGTATGTGTGCGCGCACATACATTATAATTTAATTATGAAAGTATTTATTGATCATAAAATAAATTTATTTTAACTCGTTTATGATAATAGAGATGTTTTATAGTTATTGTGCTTGATTAACTAATTAATGTGATAATGTGTAGGTTATGCCTCGTGGTAGGAGATGTTCTCGCATATAATGGCCCAAATCGGATGGTGATGGTCGTGGTTCAAACACCGAGGATGGCGGTGATCGTTGACATGGGTATAGTTTTGTTTTCGTTCTAGGTCACATGCCCTCCCGCAACATAGGTGCATTCCCTCTTACTGACCTCCGTGTCATACCCATCATCATTTGACACGTCTCGGCCTAAGCTCCATCAATTTGGACCACTTAGGTATAGTTACGTTTTCGTTCCAGGTCACATGCCCTCCCGTGATATGAGTGCATTCCCTCCTACAGACCTTCGTGTCATACCCATCATCATTTGACATGTCTCGGCCTAAACTCCATCAATTTGGACCACGTGCCCATACTTTTAAATCTTCACCATCATTACGCCCACATCTTAACAAGATGACCATCGAGTACCTACACACGACCCATCGCCGGACATCACTTACTATATGTCTTCTCGCATCTATCGGTTCTATGTACGATCATCACATTCCAATTACTCTCATTGATGGAAAAAAGTACATATTATTCACATTGTTTTATTATATTTTTTATGATATATTATTATATTAATGTGTTCATTTAATCATTAATTGTCTTATTTGATAGATTTTATCCATCCTATGTATGCTCTCATCGAATCTAAAAGACATTCTATGAGCATGTCAACCTATCTAGAACGACGAGGAAGTCAATTATCGAGCAAACTAAAGACTTCTATTAGAAGGAGTTTAAGATAATTAATATGTAACTTAATTAATTCCGTTATAGTATATTTCAATTAAGTTGCTTAATGTTCATTTAAATGTACTAATTCACATTTTAACATTCTTGCGAAGCTCTTTATATGGGACCGGGAGTTCAATCGAAGCTATAGGAAAACATGATAGAATTTGGCATGAAAGCGATATTTTGACTTTTTTAGCATGTGAAAGACACACCCCAAACTAGTATATATCTCATAAGAGATATGGGATGCATGGTATCGGGAATGGGCAAAACTTGAGTCTTAGGCCCGATATGAGAGGGTAACTTGAAATTGCATCGGCGAGACGAGTGGCATTGAGGCTGGCCTATCTAGACATACGGAGGGTTTGATCAAATACGGGGAGCATGCAATACCCATGATAAATCCAATTATATATATATATATATATATATATATATATATATATATATATATATATATATATATATTTGCAATTATTACAACATCAATATACATTTAAGTATATTTATTTCGTGGTTAAGAGTTTGGGTCGTGAACCCTATACTCATGAGGTGTTCTTAAAGACTCACGAGAAAAAAGTTGAGGATAAGTATGTATTCATCAATGAGTAGATAAAAAATCTCGGAATAAGTAATTTATAAGGTTATTTTATATGTATGCCACTTTTATATAACTTATTTTAATATTAAAATTTATACAATCATGTAAGACACTATTGATAAAATATTTAAGGAAAAGGTCTGCTAGTCGAGGGACGAAGGATACTTCGACATTCGATATCGACATGAATGAGATATTTAAGAGGACTATTAGTAAAGGAGACAAGAAGAGAAAAAGAATGTACGAACTCGGGTCGTAAGCCTCTCACTACTCAAATGTCGGTTCATCCTCTAGTTTGATCACATTACGGTTACATGTCAATATTGAGGTGCATCGAAAGAAAGTGGAGCCAACACTCGTTAGATAAAAAGAAAAGATCCGGAAACTAGAGAGTATTACTCCTAAAAAATTAAAAGCGAGTTGGAGCGAGCATAATCGGGAGCAATTTGTGATAATACGGAAGATGTAGTAGATGATACCGAATATGTAAAAAGGTAATTCACCCATCAATTCTCCGATCGACCATCATATGTTAGGTGAAAATGCTAATATGTGACATATAACATTTTCATCACACTATCGTTTTTTTATCGCTCTAATGTTTTATTTCACTATTAATACACTTTAATAAAATTTGATGTTTGAATATATATGTATTAGAAAACACAAGGCCACTTTTTGTTTTTTTTGAAAAGCTATTTTAATTTTTAAAATTATTTGCCAAAAAATTAAACGCAACATTGCAACAAAACACGTTTTTACTTGTTATTTTTTTCTTCTAAAACTAAATAGAAGACTGAAACCATAGTGATACAAAACAATACATTAGAGCCCATTCTGTACCATGTACTCTCTTTTTTTTTAGAAAATAAAAAACTATTCGATGTTTTTTAAATATTTATTTTCATAAGAAAGACGCATGAAAGAAAAATTAATATACAAATTTACTTCAAAAATTATAATAATGTATTATTAATTAAAAAATATAAAAAGTATTAATATTATGTAATTTAATTGCTGTGATTAAATAGTAACATCATGAAAATAGCATCTACGGTAATGATGATAACAACAAAGTTATGAAGTTATGTTAAAAATAATGATAAATGATTATAAAAACACTAAATATATGGTGATTGTTAATTTATTAATAGATAATATAATCGATGATAATAATATGATTGTGGTGATGGATTTAATAATACAATAATAGTAAAGATAGTTGTAATACGTTTGTGAAGGTTATAGAAATAATAGTAGTAGACAGAGTTAACTATAATAACGATAATATTAAAAGAGGTGGTGAAGAAATGAAATTAAAAAAAAATGGTAGTATGACAATGCAGTAACAGTGTTGATGATAATGAGAATGATATTGATTGAAGTGGTAATTATTGTGGTATGAATGTGGTGGTAATATTGATAATTTGATATCTCATAAATAAATAATTATTTTTTATAGTTTTCAAAAACTTGTTTTAATTTTTAAATTTTTAAAAAAGAACGCAATGATACAATAAAAAGCATTTTTTGTTCTTTTTCTAAAAAAAATAAAAATCAGATAACCGATATGTTTCCAGACAACACCTTACCGAAGCCTTTTTTTTTATTTTTTCATGGGACGGTCACATATAGATCTAAAGGGCATTAAAGTACTTTTACTCTTACAATGGTGGATTGAGATAAAGTCACAGAGTGAATGAATCATTGAGACAGGATTCTAGACTGGGTTCAAAGCTATTTTAACTCCATAACTTTCTTACATTGACTTTGGAAAAAGTTGTGTTTTGTCAGTATCTAGATTCTAGACTTGGTCACCAAAAACACAGCCAGCTGCAGACGCCGACTATCCAAGTGGTCCTGTCTCCGGACCCAGACACGTTATTGTACTAAGGGCCACGTGTCGGTTTATCTTTATTCATCGTCCCGAAACAGTCCAATTATCTCTCTCCATTTTTTGGTGATTGTTTTTTAAGGTCTATACCGACGTCGTTTTTAAGCTACAGATCCCATGCCACGTTGATTCCTTTCAAGTGCGATTTGCGGTGACGTCAGCGAGATCAGGGGTATTATTCGATAGGCTTGAAGTCCATGAGAGGCTGACTTTAAAGAGGACCCAAGTTTGTTAGTAATGGGCTCCTCAGTGGGGCAGTATTACTACGACGCTTGTATGGTATACTTTTCACATTTGATTGGGATTTCATGAGGGAGTGGATTGTGGCGTGTGAAAGAGGTACATATGGTTAATAAGGCTCCACACATGCTCCTCCAATAGCACAATCATTTGAATGATTCGGGTTGAGGTTGTTAAATCTCTACAGATGGTTTCTTTATTTTTAATAAATGCTGTTCTTGTTGAATGAAAAACTTATAGAGTTAGTGTAAAAACGATGAGATTAGTAGAAGAAGATATTATACATGTGTGAAGAAGAGGGTGAGCAGCAGTAGTAAGATGAGGGATTGACAGTTTTAACCTTAAATCTCTTAACTGTTTAGATAACAAAAAAAATAAAAAAATGGTAGAATGGTTTATTCATTTGTTGTTGATAGTCCTTGATGCCAATTAAGTGGAAAAGCATTCTTGATGTCAATTTACTACGGGAAAAGAATGATGTCGTCATTATAGATGCGGGCTAGGCAAAAATAATTTTTAGAGCGCGCTTTTATTTATTAATGTACTCTTTGTTATTTATTATTATTATTTTTTTTTTTGGTAAGGGTTGATTTGATTCTCCATATTATAGCCAACTGAATTCCACTCATGAGATGTTCTCAATGGTGCAGATGCATCTGTCGGTCCATATTTGAAACGTGTTTCTAGCCCTCAAGCTTTTGCCTGAATTTGCCGTTAGACTAAGAAAAAAAGCTATAAATAGAAGGTTGCTCGTAGTAGAAACTCGTGGATCTCAAGAGATAGCATGCGTTATCAAGATATATTAATTTTATTTCATATACTTTTCAATCTTTAGAGATCCTCCCTTTTACTTGTTTTGTATTATTTGTAAAATGAAAAGTCATATCGCTTTTTGTTTTTTTAGCAGAGAACCCAAGTCTATAGAAATGTTTTACTAAGAGCATATATATTCTTCGCTATATTAAAAAAAAAAAAAAAAAAAACATCAAAAAAATTGAGCTAGGATCCTTTTGCTTTATCTAGCTAGTTAAAGAATTACATAATATCACCAACAAATTATTAGTTGAGTGGCAAGTGAATTGATTACTAGTGAATTTTTTATCAATTTACATTATTCGAATTTTTGTATTGTACTTATTGAGTAGGATTAAATCTTATCGTTTTCGCTTTGAACATGACTAGTCTTATCTCCAATATAAAATAAAGATATCTTAAATAAATAAATAAAAAGAATTATAAAATACTCAATTCTAATACAAAGTATTGAGAGTGTTTAAGAAAATGATCGATGAGGGTACGTAGATAAAGTATAAGTTTTGACACTTGAAGCACAATATTTAGGATTTTGTTTTATCTAAAATAAATTGTTTTTATAAAATGTTTTACATAAAAAATATTGGCTCCGAAGATGTGTTGTTTAGTTATGTTAACAAAAAATACTTGAAAATAATTGTTTGTTGTTTTATATGTGGGGAAAATAAGTGTTAAGAAAGGGGAAAAAAGAATTAATTAATGATGTGACTCAATTCAATAACAAAAATAGTGTAGTGAAATATATTCATATATTAAAAACCGTATGATGTTTTTAAGCTTATTTTTTTCTTTGACCGTAAAATATTTATCATTTACCAAATTTTCTTATGTGAGCTAAAAATAAAGAAAACATTTAACAGAAGCATAGTTTAAGCGAAACAAATGTAGTCTTGGTGTTTAAATTCTTACTTAAATTTGCTATCAAACAGCACCAAATGACTATTAATTAGACAGTGGCTCAGTAGGAAAAACTTAAAATTCAGTTGATTGATGCTGAAGGGTACGAGTCAGAACATTCCCATTAGGAGCTGAAAAACACACATCAATGAGAAATATGTATGATTATAAACTCATTTTGAAAAGTTAAACCAAGTGAATAAGAAAGAGGGACTTTGGAGTTAGGAGGGGCCATGGCTTAATTAATTGACTTGTTTATTTTCTGGGTAGGTGGCATATATATGCTAAAATGTCGAAGTACTGACTTTGGTCTCAACATTCTCTCTCTTTTCTTTTAGTGGGGACACAATAAGAAGAAGAAGCATGCGGACATGGAGGGCCTGAGCAAGGGTGTGTTAACTCTTAAATTTCTTCCACATGGGATTAGTTAGTTAGTTATCTCAAATAGTTAAAGCTCAATAATAATCCATCGCCAACCTATATATCGCTCGAAATAGGTCTGATACCACAAAAAGGATTGAGATGGATTGACTTGAGAAATTATGGTCGGTTTCTACCTTGTGTGATCGCACCGCCTCTTTGACGCACTCACAAACAGATAATGGCTTTGTCTTTGATTGATGAGACGTATGTTTGAGAACCTGCATCGAGCAGAAACAGATAAAATATTAATAAAACAGAAGAAATTTGTTTTGAGGGTACGGTACATTTTCAACCTATATGGTCCCCCTCTTATCTTAGCTTCTCTGGTCTTATTTCACTTGCAATGGCCCGCATTTGGGGCTACTGTCATGGCTCTGTCTTGTTTTGAGGCCATGAAGAAAGAATAGAGACAATTGTGTTTCTTTTAGACCACAAGTTCATGTTGCAGGCAACGATCATAACATGCCTTCTGTGCAAACCCTAAACAAATATTGGTAAATGGATCCCGTAACGGGCTAAAAGCCTTGAAGCAAAATCATTTTTCTACAAGCTGAAAATAATAAATTTTTAAGATAAAGTCCAACGGTTAATTAAATTTAACGATTAAGATTTTACCAATATCATTTTGTCTGTGTTTTGAAAAATTAACATTCAGCGGTTCTCAACCAATCACTTAAAATGGTTACTTTTGCTTGGATAGATCCATATTCTAATCCATCGTTTCAATTATATCCAGATTAATTGGTTATATGTAAACGGTCCGAGACAATCGTAGAGATTACTTCAAATTAATAATGTATTCAAATGAAAAACAATTTGCTGTCCGGTGTGAATCATGCATGCCAATTATTTCTATCTTCTTTGAATCTCAAGTATGAAATGCAAACGAGTATGAAACAATAATTCGATTCTCGAATAGCACGAACCTCAAGTGAATATTTTGCTTCAGTCTTGCAGCAATATCGTCATCCATAGGCTAGTTAATGCATCCATTACGGTCAAACATAGCAGCAGAAAGAAACAGAAGAATGGGTATGACTTGTGTCTCCCCAGTCCCCACCTTATCAATTTCAACGAGCTGTCTTGGTCATCAGGGAATATTGTATTATTGAGGTATGTTTTCAACTCAATTTGATTTCATTTGGGATTGATCGATGTTGGTTTGTGAGAATTTATTATGAAGAGATAGAGCGATTGCAACAAATAGATTTCATAATGTACATCTAATGTGAAGATGATTCTAAAAGGTCAAGTTTAGTTTATAAAATAGCTGCTAGAAGATAACACATCTTCTTCTATGTTTATCAAGTAATTACACCTGTGAGTGTTTATTTAGCATAGCAATACCTCTGCACTGCTCGAAGAATGAATGACTTGGGCTTTTATCTTTTTTATGAAAACTTTTGAGCAAACCTGTTGCTGGTTAATTGCCAATTCAACAAAAAAATTATATAGAAATCAAGTTTATATATATATCTTTTTGTATCATTTTCAGTTTTTGATTCCTATCTTTCTTTCTGAAATTTTTAATACAAAAACATGGAACTTATATGTTTTCGATTTCTTTTTTGAAAAATAGTAAAACCTATCATCATTATCATAATTCTTTGAAAATTTTTGACAGCAGATCGTTGCTTTTTTAAAACAAAAAATGAAAATGTTATCAAAGGGCGCCTCTTAAATGTGTCTAATCGATTGGTATCATATATCTTAGTATTATTACTTTATTGGCATCATAAAATTAGGGTGTGCTTGGTATGACGTGAAAAAAATTGATAGAGAAATATTGAGCAAAATTTAAAATGTTAAGGGTGTAAAAATTGGTTAAGAAATGAAATGTTAAGGATATTTGGTACGAATTGAAAAAATTATGGTTGATAATGAGTCTCAATTGAGTAAAATAAAATTTTAAATGAAAAGAAAGTATGAAAAACAATAACTAATATATACTTTGTGGTAGTAAATTTGAGATGAAGTAAAAAAGAGAAAAGAAAAGTCGCAAATTCACAAAAAAAAAAAAAAAAAAAAAAAAAAAAAAAAGGGGTAGAAAATTACTTGAAAAATCCTTTACTCCTCCCTCTAGCTCTAAGGTTAAGGTTAACATTTAACCTTAAATGTTAGCCTTTTTTAAATCTTTCCCTCTTCTCGTGCCAAACACGAGGAAAAAGGATGAAAAATTGGAAACATAAATTTTCATCCGATTGATTCTCATATCAAACATATCTTTAGCATCATTACTGGCCGCTACAATATGTCCACGTAGACCGAATTCTAAAGGGAAAGCAAAGCACTTCCTAGAAGCCAATCAAACAAACAAACAAAAAATTACCTTTGAAAATCATAGACCCTTGACATCTAAACAGTTAGCTCCTTTTTATTTAATGATGACAACAGCCGTTTCCTAAGTAGATTAGATTACGAAATTAAGTTCTTCGTGATGCACAAACAGTTAAGATTTTCATTTCAATAAGTCGTACCATTTTAGACCAACGGAATTTTCCGACTTTTGGCACCCAACCAATTATATGCTCTTCTATTTCTCCGTGATAACAACCGTTCCTCAGAAGGCTTGATCCTGAAATTAAATCCTTCCTTGTTCATAAAGTGCTAAGACTTCTATTTGCTACTTGGTGGACTCGTGTTAAACCCCGAAAATCAGGGTAAGTTGACTTGAATGCCTTGCCCCCGACGTGCAGCGCCGACGCTACATGGACTTTGCCAAGTTGCTCATTGATTGAGATAAGGTGTTGGGGCTTTGATTAGCTAGAATAATTAGTTAATGGTGCTGTCAAATTTTAGGTGAATTCACATCATTTTCACTGCTCTAGTCAACCCTCATGTGGCTTGTTAATGTGAAAAATCGCGTCACCCTGAAGAGTGTAGGATACTGTGTTACTGTTCCATCATAAAATGCTTTGGTGGGGTTAGGTTTTTGTGGAATGGCCTGTAACTTATGCTACCTGTGCCAACGATCTGCTTGACGCTTAGTTTTGGACCGCAAAAACTGACCTGATGATGATATCCCTGCCGCTAGAAGAACAAAAAGAAAAAGCTAGAATTGAGCTGTATATATTATGGATGACCTTCGAATGAGACCTGAATGTGGGCCAACTCTTCGGACCTCATCAGTCTAAAGCCCAGCACTAGTAAAACATGGGCCAATATATATCCTGATTTCATTGCGGAAATGAGCCTTCCTTTCTGCTTGCAAGTTGCAGACTCCACAATAAGAAGACATGGCCAAATGCTTATTTTTGCAATTCGATATTTATCTTGAACCTTGTCATGCATTATTGTCAGATGTTGGATGTAGCCTCTGATTCTGAATTTCTAACTCTCCTAACAGATTTCAAGATCCAATGTCAAAACTACAAAGAGATCATGATGGCTTTCTGGGAAGAGCATATTTGCTTTATTCTATATCGCTTAGCAAGGCTAAGCATATTCCGTACTTGGATTTTGATGCTCGCATGTAGCTTTCACTTTGTGATATAAGAGCTTTATTGTTCCATTTGCTTTGTATTTTAACTTTCTACGATAGCCTTCATCTTGATCTGATTAAAAAAAAAAAAAAACGATATTTGATATATATATATATATTGCAGCCAAGTAACAATAAGGGTGAGCAAAGCTATATTTTATAAGGATATTTATTTCTTGACAAATTCTGATAACAAGCGGTATCTGTTGAGAATTGGTATATTTTGATGAATCTAGTAACTATAACATTATTTCCACCATCTCCCACAAAGGAAAAAAATAACGTAATTTTTTATTCATCTACTGAACAAATTAAATATATAGTCATATGTGTAATGGGCAAACGAATGTGAATGACCAATTAATAAGTGCGAGGCTTTTCCACTAACAGGCTTATGGCTTGTGCTTGGTGCAACCTCCATAAAATAAAAAATTCCCAACATTTTCTGTGTGTGGAATCTCTCGTCAATAAGATTTCAAGAAATCACGAAGAAAGTGATTTCCAAATATCTTAAAAAATCAAATCAAGTTTTGATATATATATATATATATATATTATCATTTTAACACCTTCAGCTTTTATATATCGAAGGCAAATCTCTTGTCAATTGGATTTTAGGTGCAAACCATGGTGTTGATGAAAAATTCTTTCTCATAATTCTTCTTAAATTAGACACCATATGATAATTTGTCTTCTCGTTTTAAGATTATATCTCTAATTTATAAACGAGAGAGTCTTATAGCTGTGCAGATTTAGATGTGAATATAAGACCTTATGACATTTATACAACCTCTTAATGCTTTGTTAAAATATCATCACGGGATACGGAAAGTTTAAAGTTTGTAGATAGTCTTTTGTTTTTGTGGGCTTTTAGTATCTATTAGTTTTTTTAATCCTACTATGTTATAGGTCGGACAAAATACATAAAATTATTTTTAAAATTTTAATTTATTTTGATGTTTCATGTTATATTATATATCCGACAAAATATATTAAATCAAAATTGAATAAAAATTCATTCAATTTTATAATTTTTTAATCAAAATTTTGTATTTGACAAATCATTCTTTATATTTTTATAAATTTTTAATTTAAAATATTATTTATTTATTTCTATCCATATTTTTAGCTAAAGTCTTATTTTGTAAATTGTTTTTTTCTAAATATCTTTTTGTCTTAAAATTTTTAATTAAAAATCGAGAGGAAAAAAAAAGACTAAAGTGACCAAAATAAAATAAAAAAACTAGGACAAAATCAAAGTAAAAATATTCACAGACTAAAAAATATATATTTTTTAAAAAAATCAAAATATAATTTCATGAAAATTTTTATAATAAATATCTTAAAAATTATAAAAAATACTACTATACAGTGAAAGAAATAATATATCTTAATACAGACAGCATTCAAATATTACAATGAATAGTTAGTTAGTACAGACAGCATTCAAATATTACAATGAATAGTTAGTTAGTAGTAGTTTGTTTGTTTATTTATTTTATTTTAAAACGGTGAAAGGGTGTTAAAAAATATATATATATATAGAAACGGTCTGCGACTCCTAACTCCCAGCGGAAGAAAACGGTGCGTGTTGACATGTATGTCCAAAACAATATAGAGAAGGGAAATTGTCGAACTGAAGAAACCAAGAAACACGTAGTTCAACCGCTTTGTACCTCGTATCTATTTCAACTGCTAAACCCTATCAACAAACAGAAGCTCTCCTTTGCTTAATGCTTAGTAGCTCAGCTCCATGAGAATCAGAGCTTGTGTCCTGAAAGATTCAAGCAGCAAAATCATACAAAATAGATGCAAACAACCAGTACTGTCACATCATAGGTTAGCATATACTCCATCTCTGATTAAACTCTTTGCTTTTAATGTTCTGTTTCTTTAAGATTCTGATGTAAAAATCTGAACTTTCTTTCTTTTTTATTGGATTTTATTTGAACAGCGTAAACTTCTAGTATAACAAACTGGGTTTATCTCAAAACATGAAAACAAATCAAGTTCAGCTTCTGGGTCTGATTCTTGTACTACTCGTGGTTGCTGTCTGCTCTCTTGCTGATTCAAAGGTAACTTAATGAAGAATTAAACTTTACTTAACAAATGGTTCCCTTGTTAATTATATTAGTGATTTTGCGTAATTGATTATTGATTTGATTGAACTAGGAAAGTTTAAGCACTGGTTTAGATCCAAAAGTGGATGGTACTACTAATGGTTCAAAAGAAGAACGAGGGTCAAACTTCAAATCCAATTCTATTGAGGGTGATAAAGGAAAGGAAAAGGGAGGTCAAGTTGATAAATCTAAGGTGAACATTGCTGATGATTTGAATAAGAATAAGATGGATGGCCAATCTGAGTCCAAAGATAGTGATAATGTGAAGAAGGGAAAGGATAATTCAAGTGAGGAATTTCAAGCAAAGGAGGGTGATCATGATAAAAAGGAGGACTCGAGTGGTGGGGTAGAGTCCAACGACTTGCCTAAAGAGAAGAATGGTAAAGGGGATACTCAATCGAGGAAGGAGGGTCCTCGTGTTGAAGAATGTGATCCTTCTAATATGTGCATGGATGAGGAGAACAAATTGGTTGCTTGTTTAAGAGTCCCAGGAAACGGTATGTGTTTAGTTTAACTGGTACCAACATGTGTAATCTTGGTTTCGATAATGTTACACATTTTCGTATTTTTAGATAACCATTCTGATGTCTGATTTTATGTGTATGAACTATGAAATATTGAAGTTGTTTCATGAACCGATCTTGCTGTTAATGAATTTTGTGATCCTTGTTTGAAATATCTTTGTTAGCTACTCTTTGTCTATGAAGAGGTTGTTCAATTCTCTTGTAGCAAAATTGGTGAGAAGATGGTTGAGGGAATCCACTCGAAATATTTCTAGTGTAATTTGAGGATGAAGGTTGTAGAATTTGCATGTTCTTGATTCCAAAATAAGTTGGACCCCTGGAGTAAATTTGGGATCTGTGGCAATATTTTTTCGGGTTTTCACCAAATTGAGGGTTTTAATTACAATTTGAATCAACTAACTTAAATAACCTTTGGAATGTCCAGTAGATATGGGTCTTGGTTGCATTTGTTGTTATGCTCTAGAAAAATTTCAATATAAGGTGTGGGAATTATCATTGTTTTGGACAAATTTTTGTCATGAGACTGAAGAATGTTTTGTTTATTGCTTGTTTGTGTTGAAATATCAAGATTGACTTCTGTTTTGTTTCCAGAATCTCCAGATCTTTCACTGTTGATTCAGAACAAGGGGAAAGTTCCGCTAAGCGTTACAATTTCTGCTCCAGATTTTGTTCAACTAGAGAAAACAAAAATCCAACTCCAAGAAAAAGAAGACAAAAAGGTATTTATGACTGATACCAAATAGTTATGAAAAAGATTATAGAGGATCATAGATTTCTGCTCCACTTTTAGCTGACCTGATAATATGGAATTTTTTTTTTTTTTCACTTTTGTATCGTGATCTTTTGTTATTTGCTGGTTCTTTTAGTTTATTTTCTGAAGTACTATCGTAGATTAAGACTATCTTGCTTTTCTAGATATTAAGGTAGGAGCAACTGATCTCTTCTGTCAGAATCTAAATGAGGAAATATAATGATAAGAATCTAAACAATATAAGACAATGAAGCAAAAATTAAAAAAAAAATTCTAACATAACTCGCAGCTCCATTGTACTTGATGGTAGGGGACTTCTATAGTGCTATGCATGTTGGTAAACTGGAACCGATGTGGCCACCTCATTGACCATTGATAGAACACGGAAATCTCAGAGCAATCCTCTCTCTGCATAAACTCTGATATTCATCAGCAAGTATGTTTAACCTTTCAGGCCATAGAACAACAATTTGGGGTTTAGGAAAAGAGAAAAAAATATCAATTCATCACATATTTAATCTTGTTGCGGTGCCAAGTAAGATTTAAAAAAAAAAAAATTGAGATGAGACTTGAGAACAAACTTTTTGATCTGTATGAACAGTGTGTTGCTTTGTTATTGTAATTTATCAAGCGACGAAGACCTGCCTTTTAAAGGTGCATGAACAAACATGGCAATGATCCATGTTTCCTACACAGATGTATAATGTAATATTTGATATTTTTCAGTCAAATTGGCATCTAACAATTTGTCTGTGCGTTGACTATGATTGGCATTTCTGCCTTATTTCCTTGACATGAAAAAAACAATCTTATTAGCTCGCCAATGAAATATTTTGAATTGGCATTTCTGCCTTATTTCCTTGATGTGAAAAAAAATCTTATTAGCTCCCTGATGAAATTTTTTGAATTTATCTGTTGTCTTCTGGTTTGTCTCAACTGTTCAGGTGAAGGTTTCCATCACTAGTGGAGGAAGTGAAAACCTGATTGTTCTGACAGCAGGTAAAGGTCAGTGCAAGCTTGATATAAAGGATACGATTGCCCACTATTTTGGAAAGGAGTTTGACAACCCTCACAAGTCCGCTGATATAATAAACTTCATGTCACGAACCTCTACTGTTGCTGTTTTATCCTTTGCTGCACTGCTAATCCTGGCATCAGGTTGGATGTGCATCATCTTCCGAAGGAAGCACCTTTCCAACAGTAGCTCTAAATACCAGAGGCTAGAGATGGAGCTGCCTGTGTCAGGAGGGGGAAGCCAGAGTCCGAAACTAATGATGGATGGGATAATAGTTGGGGTGATGATTGGGACGATGAAGAGGCACCTAAGTTGCCCTCACTACCCGTCACTCCAAGCCTTTCGTCCAAAGGCCTTGCTTCACGACGGTTGAGTAAGGATGGGTGGAAAGATTAGTTGCCAAGGTTGATGTAAAAACGTTAAAACTGGGAAAAAGAAGACACATTCATATAGTTTCTTTTCACCTTTTTTTTCTTTTTTTCCTTTTTCCTGATTTGTTCATAGGAGCCTCTTCATTTTCTTTTCCCCAATGGACATAAGAACTTAAAAGAAAGTTCCATGTCTGTGCTCTCTTCTGCAAGCTCCGTGTCATGTGCTGTTCCCTTTAGGGCGGATGGATTCTGTCAGGAGGGTGGAATGTAAGCATACAAAATATGTAGTTGCATTTTTTGGAATGCGTAATTAGCAATCAAGGAATACACTTACCAGTTACCATAAACTTTTCTCCATCTGAGTTGTCACCTCACAATGATATTGGCTTTGGGAGATTCCCAAAAGGAATTATGCCTAGCCATTGTTAGAGGCTACATGCTTTCTACGCATCTTCAATTTAATTTTGCGAAGAGAGGCGGCGTGTGAGAGTCCGCTTTTGTTAGTTGGTTCAACAGTCAGCATCCAATAAATTATTACCTGGATCTTGACTATGTGGGCTAAAAATCAATTACATATCAGAGTTTCATTGAGACATCTAGTGACAATATCATGTCCAAAGTACCAATATATCATACATTTCATATGACTCCAGACTATACTGCTGAGTTCAAATTATTAATCAATATCATAGTTTCGGTTAATATGAATATAGTTCGTGTAATGATTTTCTGCAAGTTTCCTGTTATAAAATGGCACACATGGTATGAATTAATCTGATTTCCACACTGCTTTTTGTGGGCCTTATGAAACTCCAACTAATCGGCCATTGACAAATGATTAGCCCATGGAATTTGGACATCAATAAATCCTAAAGTGTGCCTTCCGATTTTCCAAATAACAGTGCTTCGGTTTTGGATGATTATTTGGGCTGGGCTCTAAGCCCCTAAGATGGAGTAAAGGAACCAGAAAGTGCTACGAGGCTGGAGCCCAGTTACCCATAGGACAGAGGATAGATATAGTATTTTCTCGGCTCTTTTTATTTTTATTTTTTTTAAGAAGAAGAAGAAAATGATCCATCCATTTAACTCCTCTGCAACCACGTCTCTAAATGAAACGTTTACATCTTGTTTTTTTTTTAAAAAAAAAAAATTTCTTGTTTTATTTTCTCAAAAGGTGAGCAAAGAACTCGTTTTTGATAAATAACTTTCTTGGACGCCAGATATAAAGATATTCTATTTGACCCGAATATATCATGAATAGATGCCAAACTATAAATGAGTATACTTAAATATAATTTTGCATCATAACACTGCCTTTTGTTACGAGGAGCATGGATTGTTAACTAAATCTCACCCCGTATTGTAATCTTGGAAATTGTTAACTTAACGATTTTCTGGGGGTAAATTTTAATTGCCGCCTAGGTTTATGGGATATCTAAATATTACTTTAGAAGTTTGGTTTGTTTCAATCAACCCTTGCAACTTTTATGAGTTTTTTTCCACTTTACATCTTATTTATTATAGAAGGACATATAGTTTTAAATTTATTTGTGAAAATAGACACTCTATGCCATGTTATCTGCATATAAGCTCTACATAAATATTAACAGTCATGAGCACAACAAATGCTGGAGATCTGTTCCGTTCAATCATCCTTGTCAAAATCAAATCTTGAGTCTTCCTCAAAGCCAAACAGTACTACCACCGGCCGTGGCGTGCCTGAAAGCGAAGCTATTTATTGTACGGCGCACTGGAAAATCCAGCTTTGTTGCTGCAATGGCTTATTTTTTAGCCTACGATGTGTATGATATTGATCTTTCAAGATTTTTTTATCCTAAAAAATTAACCTTTTTCTTCTCTTATGTGTTCACTTCCGGCAGCTCCTATTGCAGCTAAAATCTTCAATGCTTGGTTCTTTTGCTTTTAACCAATCCTAATGCCTTTTTATTTATCATCTAAATATAATTTTTACAGTCACTCCCAGGCATTTTTTTGTCTTTGACTCCCACCTTCGTTCTTTACCATATTCCTTCAGATGCTAGCCATGCAAACAGAGTAATAAAAGAATGTTTGTACAACTTCACAAGTAGATAAGAAAATTAACAAACTTTCATTATTGCACTACATGGTCTTGGAAAAAAGACAATAAAGAAGGGGGAAAGAAAAACAAAATAAAAAGTTTTTTACTATTAAATTTGCTATGAAGAATCTTGTGACTGAAAAATTTACATTATGCATCACTGTTTACATCCACATCTATAAATGAAAAAAATATTAAAAAATGTCATAAGTTAAATGTATATCCACTGTGAAAGCACAAAACATACTTGTCATAGCTTAAATTTGAGCCTCCATAATTATTTTAGAAATTCATTTTATTTTCTTTTTTAATTATATAGTGTTAGGTTGTCTATGAATTTTATTGTTTTATTATTACTATTAGTCTTGTTTATCATTAATTTTTAAAGTTTGGTTCAATTATATCTATCATTCTAAAATGAAAAATAAAATAAAATACAAAGAAATGGATTAATTCACGTTTTAGGGATTCAATTGTAAGTAATTGAAAAAATATTGTGGACCAATTCACAAATACCAGAAGTCTTAGGAAACAATCAAACAAAAAATGAGTGTTAATTGAAAAACATTAAAAATAAAAGGACAAAAATAACCTTTTCGAGGACTCTAATTGAAAGAAAATTGGATTGCGGAGGGGCGAAATTACAACAGAAGAGAGGACGACAGGATGAAACTGAAGTTTGATAATGAATGACCTGTCGTCCATTGTCTATTTCTAGTCCCGCGCCACTGTTCTTCTTCTTCTCCAGTGTACCTGCACCAAAATAAAACAAGAGCCAGCTGGTTTTGGCTCTATTTTTGTCCTGAAATAACCACCCTCCTCCAGCTATCCTTGTACCCTCTACCTCCCCAATATCCAAACAAAAATCGCAAGCCACCTAATGTCCTTCCCCTTTAATCCCGCTGCTGCCAATACCTGCACCAAAACACAAAAAACAAAGAAACAAGAGACGTTAAAACAAAGAGAGGAGGGAGCTTAGAGGTCAAGAAAAAATGAGAGTTCAGAATTGTTTTAAGTGAAATGGAGGGTAAGGATAAAAGAAAAACCACTATATAAAGAGAAGCAATGGAGGCTGGAAAAAAAGGAGAAAAACCGAAAGAAAAAAGGAATGGTTTTCAAGGTTTCTTTGGGATGTTATTGAGGCTAGGACTTTAGCCATAGGTCCTATTTAGCTTGAGGGAACTAAAACACTAAGAATTGGAGTGTGTAAAGAGGTTTTTTTCCACTGGTTAAAAAAAAAAAAAAAAAAAACCCGAGGAAACGGAGAGCCGAGAGAACTCAAAAAATTTATAGTTTGAGTTTTGAAGGAAAAAGCAACGAAAGAAGGGAAGACTGGTCTTCAAATCATCCCAACGCAGTTCCTTTGCATTTATTGTCTAGAAAAGCTTCGAAAGATAAAAACTTTCTCATACATGATGCAAAAAAAAAAGAATAAACCTCATGGCTATGGCTATGTGAAGAAGAGGGTGAAGAGGTTAAAACTAATCAAAACTAAAGAAAAGGGGGATGGGCTTGCATTGTAATGTGGTTTCGAGTTGTTTTGCTTCATTTTTCTATCCAGTACGTAAAATAATGACTTTTTACTTTTATATTTTGGTACTCAAACTTAAGAGGTTTATGCGATTGGGTCTCTAATGTGAATGATTCGAGGGTAAAATTGACGACGTATGATTCGAGTGTAAAATTGACAACGTATTCTATATAATTAAAAGATCTGAGGCAAACGAGCAATAAAACGTTGTTCATTTGCCTTAATTCATTGTTCATCATTTGATACTTTTGTAACTTTTTGCAATTTTTTTTTCCATATATCACAAATAAAATTCAAAAAGTTGTCATATAACCCCTTCAATTTTAAAGGTTAATAAACCAGGGCTTGATTCCACAACGTTTCTACTGTGAAATGAAAAATGCTCTTACATAAAAGTAACTTTCCCAGTCCAAGGTAAAGAAACAGTGGGCATCTAATTCTCTCAAGCTCTATTAATTGATTACCTGATGGGTAATGAAATAGTTTTGTAATACTTTGGTCCTCAATTTTTTTATATATTTTTTTTCGATTTTAAACTTCAATTGTATTGTGATTTGATCCCATTTTGTTTTATTATTTTTTATTAATTACTTTCATTATTTAAAATTTAATACTTTAATTTTTTATTTTTTAAAATTCTCATCTAATTAATTTAAAATTACATTTACGGATAGTTTTGATTTATTTTTCCGTATGTATGGATTTTGAAATAAATTTTTATAACATGATTATTTGTTCTTTTGAAAAATAGATTTAAATAATTTTTAAATTATAGTGGCATAATTAATATATATAGTTTTTCTGAAATAAATTTTTAGATTAAAAATGTATTTTAAATTATTTTTTCTCAATTGTTTTAGGAAAAAAACTCAAATTAGTTAATTAATAATTGAAAGTTAAGTGAAAAAAACAAAAAGAAAATGGTTGCTCTGCACATAAAACATGTATTCAAGGACTAGCCATGTATAGCATAGAAATAAAAAATTATTTAAGGAGGAAAAAAAGAAAGAAAAAGAACTCTCGTATTTTATTTGTTTCTTCTTTATATAATCAAAATTTATCAAAATCAATTTTGAAATAATTTTTACTTTAGTCTATTAACTTCAAATTTAGTAAATATATTACTTGCAAGTTAACTTTTTTTATATATTGTTTTTTATTTTATATTGAAAACTCTTAACCCGCTTAGTATATTTATGATGTATAAAAAAATATTGGATTGTTGTTTTTTTCATAAATTAACTATGCAACTACTACTACACTAAGTATTTACTATTTATCTATTTTTTTAATTTTTTAATATTTATTAATTTAATATTAAATAATTGAAAGTATGTTATGGCTTAACTACTCAATGATTCAAATTAATATAGTTTTTTATTTTAATATCA